GATAGGAGAGAGAGAGAGAGAGAGAGAGAGAGAGAGAGATGAGGCAAAGTCCTTCTATTATTCGCGTATGAAATTGCATGTTTGAATTATCATGTGCTCTCTGACCTTTGATCACGATTCAATCGCGTTCCGCGGATCGCTCGTCCGCTTCGTCCTCGTCCTCGTTATTCTCTATCTCGACGAAAAGCGGCAATTCATCCCCGTGAGTAAAATCGCCGGCGCTCGCGCTGTGATTCGCGCTTCGCTCGACGGCGGAATCATTCTGATAATACGCTTTCGTCGTATCGAGCGATCGATCAAACATCACGTTCAGTGGCCTGACATTCCTGCAATTACATCGTAATATTAAATAACTCATTGTTGGAAGCAACACAATTGGCTGCTGCTGAGCGGCGGATAGCCGGCGCGATACGCCGTTGCAACAATGACCATCGCGAGGCCTCGCGAATAGTCAGTCGATCGAGAGCAAAAGCCAACGCTGTCTGAAGTCTAAAGATCCTCGACGAAGTCGATCGCCTTTCGATCATTCGCGACGACGGAAACGAGATCTCGATAATCGCGGTGCCAACCTGACGATAATCATCGGCCAGCCGTCGCAGCCGAGCAGTCCAGATCGGCCGACGGAACCGCGACGGAAGCTCAGCTCGTTCAACACACGCCGGAGCTTTCCTCGCGAATCTCCGAAGTTATTCCGAGTGTCGTCCTTCTTCTTCGATTCATCGCTCGTCTCGCTCGCCAAGCGAGACCGCTTGCATCTTTCGTTCGCCTTGTCGCGCTGCCTCCTGCACTCGTTCATCTCTCGGAATTCGCGCTCGACTTTCTCCTTCAGCGACTCGTCCTTCGGCGTAGTTTCGTCCGCTACGGCGAGATCAGCGGACGAGAATTAATTTTCCTGCCGCGTGTGTCTCCTTCCGGTCCGAGACAGGGACACGGGGAGGGGAGGGGGGGGGGCGGGCGGCTGGAATTAAGGACTCACGTTGTTCGCGGGATTGATCCTTCGGCGCGTCGGAGCCCTTCCTGTTGGCGCAGTATCGCTCATGAGTGCACGTCGAGGAAGGTTTCTGCGAGAGTTCGCACGGTTTCTTCTCTTCTCGCGTGGAGCTGCGAGGCTGCTGCTTATCGGACGTCGATTTCCTCGGCAAGCACTTCGCCGGGCCCTTCGTGCATTTTTCCTTCGACACGGTGTCGCACAGCGGGTTCGAATCGTCCTTCCCGCCCTTGTCGCAACTGGCGTAAAATCGGAACGTCGTATCGCGAGCAACGTTCGGCAAAAGAACGCCGGGAAGCGCGTGATCTCTCAAATGGAGCGATAGTTGGGAGTATTGTCGTTTCCCCGGGGAGCAGCTGGACTTCTGGCTTTTTTTATCGCTGCTTCTCTGGCCGCTGTTGCATCGGCCTTGATTGCTTCCGGAACGTCCCCTCCCGCTGGTCTTCTCGCACGCCGCGCTGCTTCCACGCGGTTTATCGCATCTCGATTCTCGCCGGCAATCGCTTTCCTTCTTCGACGGATCCGTGCAGGTTACGCGAGGTTTGCTGAACTTCTCGTAACCTTCCTTTCGGCCGCACGACGGCTTCGACCGCCGACCTGGCGGTTAACGAGATGAATTGTTAAGGGCAGCGGCGCCGGTCGCGGTAAGACGCGCGGCGAGATAATAATTTGCGGGCGATCTAGATTGAGAATTGCCGAATTTTTGGGGATCGAGGATACAAAACGCATCTCACGATCGCGCGAAGGACTCGCGGTTGCAACATCGAGAGGATTACGACGAATGTTATGATAGAGAGAGATGTGCGAATCAAGAATTTTTATGTCGAATCGAATCTCATTCTTTAAATTCGAATTCGAATCGAATCGAATCTAACTAATCGAAATTTCACTCGAATTCGAATCGAATCGTTAAAAAATTTAACATTTAACTATTAAACGTGCAAATAATGATGGAAGATTTTAATATGAAAGGGAACATTGATATCGTAATATCACCTTGAAGTAAAATATATATTTAAATAATTAAAGTAATTTATAATTCAGTTATTAATTATATAAGTTAAGTTAATCACAAGTTAAGGGTTCAAACATACACAGGCCCAGATGGCCCGTTTTGTAGCTGATGCACGCAAACGATAATGCATTTGATTCCGATTCGAATTCGAACAGCTCGCACATCTCTAGTTGCATGACTGCGAATCCGTGTGTGTTATTTCGACAAGTCTGAGCGTGTGTCTAATTGCGCGACTGAAGCGCTTCCTTTGCACACATTTCTTGCCGTCTCGAGTCATTTGATTCCAGACATAATTCGACACGTTTAGATGACGCGGTTCAGGACGACGAGAAACGCACGCTTATGCGTGTGCGAAGTAACGCGCTCGCATTCGCGATGTGTGAGATATGTTAGATGACGACGATTCTCTGTGTTACTCTTGCAGCATCGCGCGTCAGCGTCCTGCCCCCCCCCCGGCGAAGAAGCGCGACTCCTCGTCGAGCATCGTCCTTTCGCGCTTCGGTCGCTCTTCCGGCCGCCGCCGCCGCGACACCGTCCCTTGCCGGCGTTGCACTTCCGCTTTGCCCTCTGCAAATTGCCCGCACGACGGCTGCTGCACGTCTTCAGCTCGTCCTTCCGTCCCTTCTCGTACATCGTATCCTCGCAGAACGGGACGTTCCGGCCGCGCGCGTCCTTCCCGCATCGACTTCTTCGCGACTCCGCGACGTGTCGATTATTGCTGTCTTCGCTATCGGTGCTGGGCTCCTTCGAAGCGTCGCAGGAGAACGCTCGGAGGCTCCTCAGAGTGACGAAGCCTGCGACGGGCGGTCCGATTTGAAAATGGGTTAAAACGGCTGAATGGAGAATGTCGTATCTTTAATTCATCGTGTGTGACTCAGCTGAGCGAGACTCGAACGAACGTATCCGGTCTGCATTTTCGCTGCGTTAAATCGAGCAGACTATCGGAAGCGAAATTCGAGGAGTCACACGAGGGACTGCAGTCGCGGGTTGGAAATAAAGAATTACAATCGCGAGTCACGAACGCTCGTACAAGCTCGACTTCAACGCTGGCACCTGAGTGCGATCGCGTGTTTCTCGGGCGAGCGATCGATACGTTCGCATTGGGCAGCTTGTTCCAGTTTTCCATCGGGGGCTCGATCGTTCCAGCGGACCTCTGGATCACGCTGCTCGAGGGGAAGACGCGACGAGGCGTCGCGCAAGGCGAAGACGACTCCCTTCGGCTTCCCAGACTCGCAGGACGAGACGGTCGACGCGACGATCCCCCCCGTCGCGCTTCTCGAATCTCGGCCCCGGTTGGGCCGAAGGACCCACCACGAGCTTCTTCCGCGCGATCATCGACCGCGGGAGTTTCCCCCGTTCCGTGTCCTTCGCAACGATCGCTCCATCGCTGTTCCACGGAGGAGCGTTCCGTCGCGACGTTGTCCACGTCTCGCTCCGCAGGATGCGAGTTGCGTGACGTTTCGGGGAAAAGCTCGTGCTGCAAGCTCGTCAGGATGTCAGACTTCCGGATAGCCATCTCCGTAAACATCACGGACGACGATCGCCGCGACGAAGTGTCTGTTGTGCTTCCTCGCGCCTGCGAGTTCGTCTGCGACGCTTCGGACGAAGCCGCCGGCGGTGGTTTGGAGACGGTCGCGAAGGCGGGCATTCGCGAGCCTTGCTGATCGCTGATCAGCGGCGATTTCAACGCGAGTTTTGTAAGACACGAAGACTCCACGTCTCTCGCGGCGGTCGATAAAATCGACGGCAGGTCGTTGTGCTTAGCGGAGGGCTTTAATGCCTCCACGCGCGTCACCCTTGTGTTTGCTCCGAAACGTGAAAACTGCGTGGCCGAGATTCGGGGACCGAGGAACATCGCTGCGACTTCGGGCAAGCTTGTCCGAGTTCTGCGGGCCGTTGCTCTCGATGGATTCACTTTTGCGATCCGCGGAGCGTTCCTGTCCTTGCGAGAGAAATCGAGCAAGTCCCAAAGGCGACGTCTGAGCATGCTCGACGGTACGTGCGCTTCGTGCTGATTGATCACAAGCAAAAACATTTCTCAGTGATGACAATGAGAGCTTGGAGATATACTTTCCTCGATGCAATCTACGGGGATCTCAGATTCGCTGCATTAACTTTGATAAATTCTTTAGATTTTCCAATTGAATTTTCAATCGTATCCCTCCATTTATATATTTTCCTATCTGACATCCCGTCGAAACCTCCCGTCACCTCAGCTTGTGGCTAATCGCCTCGAGTGACTTTTGAGGTTGATTACTTTCCCGCTGATACCTGCAAAGATTTGGTGGACAGGATATGCGACAGATCCTGCAACGCCCGTGCTCTGAATCCGTTCATGATCGCGTGTCTGACTCTCGCTCGGTGAAGAAATTTGGGGACTCACACTCGGGATTTTGAGGGGCTCGAAGTGACGGGAAATTTTGTCGTAAGGATCGGCCTGAACGTGTTCGATGGATCGCTCTGTGGCCGACGTGGCGCTCGACAATTGACGAGCGATCGGTCCGACGGACATTAGAGAATACTCGTCGTTGAAACATTCCGACGACGAAGCGGTTAGAACACAAACACAACAACGATGACGATAATGATGATGATGATAATAATCATTATTATTCCTTTAATGATCGGCCACGGGAATATCATTGACAAATATCGGTTACGCGCAATTTTTCGACGATGAAACCGCATTATCCGCTCGCGCGCGCCTTTGATCGAAAAATCTTATTACGCGGAAAAATCCGATTGGACATCCGTCGAATGAGTGCAACACGATATCTGTATTTGCTGCAGTTTTTAATGTAATGTAACGCAACGCTCGCCGCGCCATAGCCGCCGCGAAAGAGAGAAAGAGCAGAGAGGGAGAGAGAGAGAGAGAGAGAGAGAGGGAGGGAGAGGGAGGAAGAAAGAGAGAGAGAGAGAGCAGGGAGGAGAGAGAGAGAGAGAGAGAGAGAGAGAGAGAGAGAGAGAGAGAGAGAGAGAGAGAGAGAGAGAGAGTTTTTAATGATCGGCGAACGTGACTCTGCGTTTGCTGGAATTCGCTTTTCTTCGGTCGCGATCTTTGCCCTTCTTGGCGAACGCGAGTTTCAAAGCCTCGTGATGCTCGCCGGGCTCTCGCTGCTTCGCATGTTCGTCGCGGTTCCCCGCATTATCGTTGGACGCGGTCTGCTGCAGCGAACTCCAAAGACCACCCTGCACGCACAATGGCGATTAGGCGATTTTCCCTCTGACGCGAACGCGAACGCGATTTTGCGACGCACGCGCGAAAATAGCGGCGAATTAGCTTTCGTGATTTCACTTGACTCCTGGCGACCACCTGGTATTCGGAGGTGGCAGCTGACTGGCTCGGATCCTGTTTTGACAGTCGCGCGGCACACGAACCTCCGTCCAGCGGAACTCGCTCTTGGTCGTTCTCCATTGATCGAGGATCGAGCGAAAAGGATCCCATGACTTCGTCTCTTTGCCGTCGCGAGCTGGTACCTTCGAGAGACGCGCGTGAAAGAGAGACGGAGAAAGAGAAAGATAGATAGAGGGAGAGTTGCTGAAAATGTGTTTTACAACTACCACGACACTAAAACCTGATCGACGAACTAAAACTCGCGAGACACGTCACAACGAGACGTACGTAACGTCGACGTTCCTCCTTACCGACGCGGAGTTTTTCAGAGCAGAGAACAACCTTCGCGATGCGTAGGTCTTGATCTCATTCATGTCCACCTTCGATACATGTAATTTTCGCAACGGTTAGGTTGCCTTCCCTCGGCAAAATTTCCACCTCTTCGTAACCAAAATGGAGAATTTCCTCGCCGCTTGCGTTTCACATTGCGAAACAGATGACGATCGGGCCTCTAAGCTGTGAATCTTCATACATGTATCGTTCGCTTCTCTTTTCTCAGGCAGACTTTGCTCTTTTCGCAAAGAGTACAACTATACTTGCCCGAGGAGCAGAAGAGACGCCGCAAGACTCGATACGTGTAATTATCTCGCCGCTAGTCGCGTTTTATATTTGTCGTGAGCTCGCGTCATGTAATTATACCGCCTACATAATGCGCGCGTATGTGCACATAATCGCGTGTACTTTGTCATTTACGAAGAGTAGACACCGCTGAAATCACCGCGTTGCACAATACCGTCCGTCCGCCGAGTGCATCCATCAGGTGTTACTTAATCCGCGCAAGGGTGTTGCAGAACTTGGAACTTAGTCTACGTCGTTTCCGAACATATTAACGAGCCAAGTTGCCGTCGTTGACGGAACTGATACTCGCCGGAAGTAATTTTAGCGCGCACTTGGTTGCAGGCGGTGCAACGTAGTTAATGAGTAGAATCGTTGAAGTAGTTCGTCGAAGCGCGTTAGAACGAAAGCGCCAAGTTGCACGGCGAAAAGTCGTACATTGAATGGGGGGCGTGGGAGGTGAGAGCTTGAAAAAAGAAAAAGAAGAGAGGAGCAAAGAAAAAGAGAGGAAATTGGCCGTTCGCACGTACTCCGCGATATCCCGACCGCTTCCTTCCGAAAAGAGAAAGACATTTCTCTCTTCGGTGAATCTCTCTCTCTCTCTCTCTCTCACTCTCTCTCTCTCTCTCTCTCTCTCTCTCTCTCTCTCTCTCTCTCTCTCTCTCTCTCTCTCTCTCGAGATTGATTCCGAATAGAATTAGAAAATGGTGTTGTTGCTAGATACTTGGAGTAAAATTGGTAGATTTCGATAGTTATTGATAAATCCCAAGGTAGTTCACCAACGTGTAACTCTTTGAGACACGTATTTTTCAGAAAATCCGAATCACATGAAAATTTATATACGGGGATTTCCGGGATCGCTGATGACAAATCCGTTATCAGATTTTTGAAATCCAAGATGACGGACGCAAAAATGAAAAATCGCGATAATTTCGGTGACAATGGGTATTGTGAGGTTTTTGGAGTCGCTGATTACGAATCCGTTATCAGATTTTCAAAATTCAAGATAGCGGATTCAAGATGGCGGCCAAATATGAAAAATCGCGATAATCAGGAATCAGCCATCTTAGAAAATGAACTTTCAAATGTGGACCTCAGATTCGTAATCAGCGACTTCAAAAACTAACCAGAGTACAATTTTGGGTAATTTAATAAAAATTCTATGATCCGCCATCTCGAATCGCCATCTTGCAAAATTAATTTTGGAATTTGGACCTTAGATTCGTAATCAGGCACCTCAAAAACTAACCAGAGTACAATTTTAGCTAATTTAATAAAAATTCTATGATCCGCCATCTTGAGTCCGCCATCTTGAAAATATAATTTTGAAATTTGGACCTCAGATTCGTAATCAGCGATCCAAAAAACCTCCAAATCTTGATTTTGAGCAAAAAATTCACTCATAGTTCGTGGAAAATGATTTTTTTCTGTAGAAATGTGTATTTTTCACACTTTGTTGACTTATAATAAATAGACAACTTATGCGAAACACTTTTCAACCTTTCGTGTACGTTCCCATATCATATAAGAAGCTAAACGCAAAAACGCAAAAAACCTGACAAGAATCCCTCAAATATGAAATATTTCATGAAAATGTGAGAATAAAAAGGTGATAAGTATATTACCACTATGCCTCAAAGGGTTAATGCAACGTTGACAACACTGGTCGACATATGAAGCCACTTTGGATTGGCTTGATCGAATCGGCCAATCTATAATGAATCGATTAAAATCACACTGGAATAGTTTACGACCTTTTACACGGCCGCTTTATCGAGAGAGAGAGAGAGAGAGAGAGAGAGAGAGAGAGAGAGAGAGTGAGAGAGAGAGAGAGAGAGAGAGAGAGAATCAGCCGCACGGAATATATCCGGCTCGCCGTGCCTGAACGTTCAACTAATTCGGCGTGCTCGTGATACGACAGCAATCAATTTTACTTAATGAACAGCACGCGCGCGCGCGCGCGCGCGCGCGAGAAACCAGTGCGTTTCTCCGCGAACGCCTCGAGTTCGATTAATTCGAAACAAAGTTAAAGTCAGGTGACGTCCGGCCGGCGGCGCGAGCGAACGCAATCGAGCGAGTGCAGCGGGTAACGTAATACGGAGTCAGACTACCTGAACGATCTGACAGCCGGGCTCGAAACAAAATCGGCCGACGCATCCGAGATCGCCCGATCGCAGCTGGGTTTACACATACACACCCCTCCCCCCTGCTGAGCCGACATTAAATTACGAATAAATTCCATATCAAGCATCGAGCACAAATGATACATAGCCAAATAGGTAGCTGAAGAAATAATTGAGTAATCGCGGCTATTGCAAGAGCCACCTGCCTCTGCCATCCGTGATCAAACAATCGTAACGGCGAGTGTGTGTGTTGAAATTACTAATTATTGCAAATATTAAACGCGCGATTGTTTCAGCGAGCGTATCTATAAAAATCTATCTAAATTAAAATATATCGAAAGTATTATTGCAAAATATTAAAATAATGTAAGTAGAGTAGCAAAAAAGTAATGAGTCAATCTCCCTACAGCACCGAAGTGACAGAAAATGTATCTAAAATAGATATATCCGAGAAATCAAAGTAAACATCTCACACAAGTACCACAATCTCGGTACTAAATTGTCAGAATTGAGTTGACACGAGCTCGTCGTTGACTCTCACAAATTATCGAAGTGCCCGATCGCATTAAGACCGTATCACACTAGCGACTCGCGACTGCGGCTGCGATTGCGATTGCGATTCTTCTTCGACCAGTCAGAAAGCAGCGACTGTCGTTTGGACCGTCGTTTGTCTCTTTTCCGAGTCGCAGCCGCAGTCGCAACCAATCACAGAACTCCGTATAATCACGTGACGCGCTCGTCGTAATCACATTTATTTAATAGTATGTAGAAGTCGGTGATCCTTAGAATAAGATTATACCTACTATTGTTTTATGTGTTACATATCTCCTTTAATTGTCAAAACAATTTAATAAGGAGATAGACCATTATCAAACATATCTGTATTCATCCGAAAGCATCTGTGCAAAAAAAAAACTGAAAAAAAAAAGGAAAAGAATAGCATTGCAAAATATAGAGTACTTTCATAAATAAAAAGTGCATAACAAATCATTGTTTATAATTCGTATAACTCTATTTACCTACGAAATTTCTCCGGATCCTCTAATTGTATTATAATTCTAAGAAAAGGTCATGATGGCAACCTTGTTCTTTTCTTCTTGCTATCCATGGTTTCACCCATATTTTACTTGCGTGGTAGTATCTTACAATACTCCGTAATTATAGCCGTAATTATAATAAATGTCACCATTACATATATCTGCTCTTTACGGCTCAATCGTATCAAATCCATCCATATTCATATTGCAAATGCTCTTGCAATGTTAACGGTATTTAGCCGCAGCCGCGATCGCCAATCGCAAGTGTGATCGGAAAACAAGAAATCGCAATCGCAGTCGCAGCCGCGAGTCGCTAATGTGACACGGTCTTAACGGTAGAACGAGCTAAAGCCGTTCGCGACGGATTTGTTCGTCGTGCATTTTGCTCCTTCGCATTCCAAGAGAGAGAGAGAGAGAGAGAGTGACAAGGGAGAATCCGTCGATGTCTCGCCGATCTTCGCCACTGCGGATCTCACGCAAATCGCCGAGGGATTTTTCCCGAGGATTTTGCGCGAGGATGACTTTGTTGATACTACCGCGCGTATCGCGCATAATAAAACACACGCTCGGGCTGATTACGCAACGGCCGGCTCCGATCGAGGGGAGCCGGCTTCCATTGGAGCATGCTCTGTGGAAGAGACAAACGTCAGCGGCGAACAGATCGATTATTCGCGTCCATGGAAACCACGGATGGACCAATGCGAAGAGGCTACTCTCCTTTTTGGACAGGCGCACCTGCCCTTGCTCACTCACGCCGCCGACCAATCGTGTCATCATTTATTTATTCGTCGCGAGCGACGCGTTCGGACGGCCGCGCGTGTCGCGCAATATTTTACATAATATCACGCGGCGTCTCTCTCCTGCTCTCCGGCGAGCGACCTTTACCTCAGATACAGACCGCATTCGGCTCGAGAAAAGCTCGTCACGGACGAGTCATGCCTCCGAGTCCGTCGGTTGGATCGCAAATATGATGACGTCACGAGTATCAAATTGACCGTCAGGATTCATCTATCGAATCGTATCACGTTTCAAGGCAGCTCTCGGCCGAGACGCGGTCGCGACTGCGCGGAACTCGCTTCGACGCTGCCGAATGTTAATCAGAATCCGAAGTGTTAATTGCGAGGGAAAAAGAGCGGAGATTACGCGCGCGCCAAAGACACCTGACACTATCGTCGTCGTGTGTGTCGCGACGATAACGTCAGCGCGGACTGCCATGTCGCAAAGACTGCAGATTTCCCGCGGTGGGCAGATCGACGGGCTTCTGCCCACGAAACGCGACAAACGAGACCGCGTTGAACCCAGTTTACGCGTCGCAGAGGGAGGAAGGAAGGAAGGA